AACAGAAGGGACACTTTTAGGAAATTACTTCCTGCCTACTATATCCCAATGTGTGCACCCAGAATAAAACAAGGGGATCTCAAACATGAATGTGCTGGTGAGTGCAGGAGATACAGAGCCGAAGACTCCCAAGAAAAGATTCTTGGCTCCTGGGCTCACCTGTCCAGGCAGCCAGCAGGACTCTCATGACGGTGCATTCACAACCGATGGATCATGTCCAAACCTTGCTGTTCCTCTTGAGAGGATTTTCAAGTGTCTCTTAGCTTTGGAGAGTTTTGAACCAGTAGTCCACTCCACGCTAGCAGTAAAGATCGTCTCCCTAAGCCATATGAGGTTCACCACCAGCCTGGTGCCAGAAACACTTACTCTCACCACACACTCCTGCACATAAGACTGCCCTTTTTAAAATTCATTGACATATATTGTAAGACTGTTGGCTCACTATGAGAATTTCCCATAGCACCTAAGTATTCTGTAGCTAGAGATCTGGAACCACACAGACCAGGCTTGACAAGCCACACTTTGGCTACATTTACATCACACTCAACCACACAGAGTTTATGGCTGTTCCACCCCCCTTAGGGGAGTCCCTGACTGAGGCCTCTAGATGAGACCTTGGAAGGTGATCAGTTTTTCCCTCTGTCCAAAGGGACAGGCCGGACTGGGTTTAACCTGGGCCCTGGAGCCTTACCTGTTCCAGAAGTCCTGGCTGGTTAGTTCTCTGGTTCACCTCTCCTTTTGAGTCCGGTCAGGAGAGGTAGTTGTGGCAGCTGGCTGCCCCCATTTGGAGGAGGAGGGACCTTCAAATGTGAAAGTGGCCCGCATCCGCTGAGTGGAGCTTGCCACCAGCCACTCCCCAACTCCCAGCTGGTGGCTGAAGGAGCCAACGTGGTCGGTTTCCTGGTCAGGGAACCAAATGTTACAGCAGTTTTAGATCCAAGAGTGTTACAGCAGCTTTAGATCTATTGCCGAAGAAACCAATCCCACTCAGAAGAGGTGAAGCAAAGTTTCAGATTTATTAAGCTGGCTGGCTCAGTGGAGCTAACTTCCCCAGATTCTTAGCCCCAGTGTAGGTTCAATGAGCTAGGTTTGGACAGGGGGGAAATCAGAAGATTGGTCCCACTCAGTAACCTGATTAACATTCAAGCTTGTCTCGTGGGAGGGGAGGGCAGTTAATGTTTTCTGAGAGTGGGAGGTTAATGTTTTACCTTTTCCTGTTCAATTAAATTTCATCCTGAAATCTTTCAGGAGTCAGATTGAGTTATAGCTGTGTTTGCAGGCAGACACTGGTTCCAGTTTGGAGAATTTGACCTCATTGACAAGTGTCTAACTTTTTAGGGAAAGAAGTTGTTACTGTTGTTGTTGCTATGTGCTGTCACGTTGGTTCTAACTCATAGCAACCCTATATAGGATTTCAACTGCCGATCTTGTGGTTAGCAGCCCAGCGCCACACCAGGACTTTACTGTAAATCTCCAAGAGAGTAGGAAGCCTCCTATCTCCTAAGGATTGAGGAGTGACTGCTGGCTGGGAAAGCCTTGATAAAAGCTGTTAACGGAAAATTGAATTAACTTACAGCATCCTTGTACAATTTGTCAGGTTCTCACAGCTTCAGAAATCTTTGATTCTGTCAAATTCTTGCCACAGACTTTACGATGGGATGTTTGCAGAGTGTGTATGTGTGTGTGTGTGTGTGTGTGTGTGTGTGTGTGCAGCTGGTGTTGATGGTGCAGAAGTGCTGACTCACTGGCTGTTCAGTGACCCTTTACATCACTTTCCATTGTCCTTTCTTCCTTTCAAGAGTTTGAAGGCTCTTTCAGTGTTGTTTTGTTTTTGCCTCGGGCCAATCACTGAAAAGGAAATCAGAGTGTAAAATTTAAGGCTGCCCGGCCTCCAGAACAAAGACAGCCTAAAGCACAGCATGGAGTGAAAACACAGAGCAACCCAAATCCTTGCTCACTGGAAGGCGCCTGTCTGCCTTTGTCACCGCCCAGGGCTGGAAGAAGGGGATTGCAGGAGGGGCTGGGCGGAGACACGAGGGCCACTGGGCTCCAGAGTGGGCTTTGGGTCTCCTTTCTCTACAACTCTCCTGCTAATGGAGTATCTATTCTGAATCCAGCATTCTTAATGCTCCTTTTTGGCACAAGTGTAACAGGTGGTGCTAATTATCTGTGAGGCATAAATTCTTGGAGAACTAGCCTTTGGAGAGCGCAATCTAAATTTGTTTAATTGACTATTTGGACCCAACAAACTTATTTAAACATTGTTTTTCTAATTATAAAATATCTATTTGTTTTGGGAAAATTGCAAGGAAAAAAAGTCCTCATAAAGGATGAAATAAAAATTATTCATAATCTATAATCCAGGGATGATCACTGTTAACATTTTGGTGTATTATCTTCCAATATTTTTTCTCTATATTGACTGATATGCACATATATTTTACATAATGGGTTCACACTGTACACATTATTTAAGCGGAAAACTATGCTGTGCTTATACTCATGTCATTAAACCATAGCTTAGAAATGCTACAAATTAGTGTAGTGTGAGCAAAGAGCTATGGCTATATCTTGAGTTATTTTATTTGCTGTCACTTCATCTCTATTTCCAGGATGTTTCTCTTACCAAGACAGACTCTTATACAGGTCCCATTCAGCAAGGTGCCTGTTTTCTCACCACCATCTCTACTTTTTTGTCTTCAGAAAAACTTTAAGGTGATTTATCTGGGCCAGTGTTTCTCAAGCTTGAGGACATCAGAATTACTAGGAAGGCTTGTTTAAAGAGATAACTGGGTTCACCCCCAAAATGTCTGACTCAGTAGGTCTGAGTGAGTGGGGCAAGTTGATTTGGGGAATGGATGAACCATTCTGTTACTCTTAGCTCTCACCCAAAGGCACAGTAATTAAGCTAGCTCAGCTCTTAACCAAAAGGTTGGTGGTTCAAACCTACTTTGCTGCTCCACAGGACAAAGACCTGGCAACCTTCTCTGGTATTGATTATAACCTAGAAAGCTTTATGGGGCAGTTCCATTCTGTCACATGCAGGGGCAGAATGATGTGGTGAAATCTATATGAAATTTTCCTTTACGGATTACTAAATAAGTATTAGTAATTCTGTGCTTGGAGTCCTGGTGTAGCACTGTAGGATAAGCACCAGACTACTAAATGCAAGGTCGGTGGTTCAAACCCACAAGCAGCTTCTTGGAATCCCAATACAGAGTTGCTATGAGTTGGAATTGACCCAACTGCACGTAATCACAAGTCTGAGCTTATCTTGCTTACTGGGTACTTCATCCCTGTCAGGGACTGTACATTTGAAATGAGGGTTTGACCCTGTAGGAAGGCACAGTGTGCAGTTGGGAGAGAGACAGATGCCAGCTATGCTAGAAGCAGAATCTTAGATGTAGTGGAAAGCTCTTGAATGTTCACTACAGATTAATGTTGTTGTTGTTAAGTGCTGTCGAGTCTGTTCCAACTGTATAGGTTTTCCTATATAGCATCCCTGCATAGGTTTTCCAAGGAGGCACTGGTGAGTTTGAAGTGCCAACCTTGCGATTCAAACAGACCTTGCAGTCTAGTACTTATTCTACAGACAGATTAATAAATAAAGCCATGTTTACTTTGCTTATTAGGTAATCCAACACTGGTCACCTGGGGTGATTGTGAGTTGAAATCAGTGTCACCTAACAACCACTTTCTGTCAATGTTGTTTGGCTCTTTGCCCTTTTAGAGCATTTCCTTGTCTCCAAATCCCTTGGTTTTAACCACTACCTATGATGGCTGGTGTCCTGGTGTGGCACTGTGGGTTAAGGTGCCAGACTGCAGAGCCATTTGAACTGCAAGGTCAGTGGTTCAAGCTCACCAGTCGCTCCTAGGAAACTCTATACAGGGTTGCTATGGGTCGGAACCAACTGGATGTTACTTAACAACAACATGATGCCTGGTGTGGTGTTTTAGGTTAAGCACTGGACTGCTAACTGCAAGATTGGTGGTTAAAACTCATCAGTTGCTTCTGGGAAACTCTGCACATGGTTACTATGAGTTGGAACTCACTTGATAGCATGTAACAACAATGCTGTCTCCTTATGGTGTCACCGATGCATTCAAAGTACAGAAATATTTCATAAGGGAGGGTCGGAATTCAAAGAGATTGAGGAGGCCTCTCTTTAGTACCCCTGAGAGTGGAAGCCAGGGTGAATTATCTTGTATTCTTTTAGAGCTTGCTCAAAAGGAAGTGCACAGATGCTCAGATGATTTGTGAAAGGAAATGACACATTATCCTCTTTCCAACATCTGGTAATTTCTGAAAGATATTCAAGCCTGAGAGAACTGTTGGCTCACCAGAAGCCTGTGTCTTTTTTCCCAAGGGAGGTGGGGGTGAGGCAAGGAGGACAGAGTCTATTTTTGGTGTCAACCCAAGGGGACTCCTTGAGGAGAGTGAGAATGGTCACCCACACTGCTTTGCTATTTTATGAGCCAGAAAAACACACTTCCTTCCTGTCCAACCCTGAACAACCATTTGTTTTTGAAGTTTTAAATCTTTCATGGAGAGCTGAAGCAATTTAAAAATGCTATCACAGAACACCAAGATAAATGGACTGATTAAACAGACAGAGAGGATTTGCAGCAAATTGTGTCTAGATTGAGGGAATATCACAACATGCAATGGTGGCTCAGTAGCATCTGGCTGCCTCTTAACTGGAAAACTGCACAATTTTTTCAGCTCGTCGGTATTCCCTTGAAATGAAAGACAGCAGGGAGAAAGAATAGGAGAGCTGTGAGTGGGGTGCAGTAGTGGAGTGCCAGTTTACCCAGATGAATTGACTTTGCAATGGTGAACTACGCAACTCTGACGCCCTCCTGGACATCTGAAGATAACTGTCTCTGGACTGACCCCTCTCCTGCCTGAGCATCAAGACCAATGGAGAACCTTAAGTAGAAGCCAAAGAGAAGGAAGTTTTGTTCTAATTAAGTTAGTAGAGGATCTCCTAGGCTGGGGAATGGACGAAGACGGTGAGGAAGAAATCTACCTAAAGATTGAAGGGCTTTTGTTGTAACACAACACTTTATTTTGTTCTAGCCAGGGTGTTCTACCCTGGGAATTTGGACTGCAAACAGAAAGGGTTTGTGTGGGTTTCCTGTTTAAGTCTGTGCAGAAACCCAAAGCATCACTAGGCCTCATAAATATTTTAGGCATTGCTGATGTAAATGTTTTGACTGGATGCCATGGGAATATTGCACAAAAATAGAAGGGAGGGAAGCACATTCACTCTTAGGATTCTGGGTGGGTTTCAGGATTCATGGTTTCAGATCTGTAAACAAAGGGTGTCACACTGGAGGAGAAAATCATTAAGATCCCTTCCAACTTTGATATTCTTCAGTTCCATTTTCCTCTCAAGAGTCACTGGGAGCTCACATTGTGCAGCTCATGCTTGGGAGTCTGCTTAGCACTCAATAAACAGGAGCATGATTAAAGTTTCAAACAAAAAATTGGGAAATTGCCCTCGCATATCTTTTAGGCTCCTTTGAAGAAAGAAGGTACTTTTGAATTGAAATCTGGTAATTCCCAGACTTTCCTGAACACTTAGTTCATGCCAGAAATGACAGACATGAGGCTCAGGAATATTGTAGTAGTTTTGTAGCTTGATTTGGGCACAAAGAAAGTTCACAGAGCTGACCTCAAGGTGTTCGTGTTAGGAGATATCACTCATTTCTGGTTTCTTTTTTATTTCCTTTTTCCCCTCAATTTCTTCATTTGTCAAATGAGCATCAAGACTTATTGGTTTGTTTTCACACTGATTCAGTGGCAAACTTTACTTGGAATCTGAGTAGAAATTAGGTCAACTGGGAAAGTGATGGGGCAAGAACAGTATTTCTCATGGAAGTTTCTTGTGTCAACATGTTGTTCCAGTGAGGGGATTGGTCACCTTAAATGATATTTCTTATATTCTTTTATTTTACCATTTGTCTTTGTATCATTTTAAAAATTGTCATATGAAACTGTCAAAACTGGAGGGGGATTTACTAAATTATATACACACACATGAGGGTGAGCCAAAAATTATCCACTCTCTTACTGTAGAATTTATTTTAATCAACTTTTAGAAAAGATGAGTACATCTCCTTGCTTTCCAATACACTTTGTCCATCTGTCAATAAGCTTTCATATTCCCTTAATAAAAAATGTTTTAGGCCAAGTTGTGAGCCATGAACACACCACTATCTTCACTTCTTCCTCAGAGGTGAATCTTTATCCTTGGAGAGCTGCTTTCAGGGGACCAAACAGGTGAAAGTTCAATGGAGCAAGATCAAGACAATAGGAAAGACTTTTTAACACCTGAAAACTAAGTTTGGCAGAGTGTCAGCCAAAGTGTGAGGACATGTATTGTCATGCATGATTACAATGCTCTTGGATAGCAGTCCTCTGTGTTTAATACCAAATTTAGGCTTCAGCTCTTCAGTGAGCATCTCATTGTAATGAGCACTGTTGATTGCTGGAACTTTTTCCTGATAGTGTTCCAATATTGGTCTTGAGAATCCCAGAAAACTGTAAGCTGATGGTTGACTTTTGAAATTTTTCTTGGTTGGCGTTTGAGGGTGTTTCCATTCTATACTCTATTTACTCTCAGGCTTATAGTGATGAATCGATGTATTGTCACCAGTAACAATTATTTTTTAAAAGAAACTTTTACCTTCCTTTGAATGTCAGTCCAAATTTTGTTTGCAGATGTCCAAATGCTTTTGTTTATGCTCTTCCAAGAGTTGTTTCAGTACTCATCTTGCACAAACTTTTCTAAATCCAAGTCTGTTATGGCTGATTTGCAAATGATTTGCCACATAATCCATTGTTACTTGTGTATTTGACAGAATATTCTGTCAGAAATTAATTTCATGTACATGCTCAATGTTGTCATCAGCCATGGACATGTTTTAATGTAACTGGTGTACAGATAATCTTTCATTCATTCTCAAATTAGTTTGTTGTTGTTGTTAAATGGTGTTGAATCCGTTCCAACTCATATCAACTGTATAGGATTTCCAAGGAGCAATTGGTGGGTTTGAACCCTTACCTTGTGGTTCAGTGCGACACCAGGAGTCTCTCTATATAAAGCCAAACCCATTGCCATCAAGTTGATTCTAACTCATAGAGTCCCTATATAGGGTTTCCATATATGAACTTCTGGTATGGCAGTACTGTAGGATCAGCACTGGACTGAGAACCACAAGGTTGGCAGTTCTAACCCACCAGCTGCTAATGGAAGCCCTATACAGAGTCGCAATGAGTTGGAACTGACTCAACGACACTTAACAAAAACAGTTCAGTTTTATTCAGAGCAAAGGAAAAAAAAAAGTTTAATCACATTTGAAGAAACTCAGCTACAGGTTCTAGAATCTGTACTCGAACTACACAGGCAATGAAGACAATATTCTGCCAATACTATTGATTTGTTGCTGCATTTGTCTACTGTTTGTATAATATTAACAGTTATAAACAGAGGAGTGCAACTAGTATTTGGAATAATCCTTCATGCTGTTGGTTGTCTTCATGTACCGGGGCTTCCTCTCCTTTAGTAAAGTTGTTTCTGATATTGAAGTTTTTATGAATCTTTTCAGGAGTTTTCCCCTTGATCATATTGGCAACTGTCTTGAAAGTAACACCAAGCAAATCTTTGATATCTAAGTAGTTTGCAGCCAGAATAAATTTAAAAGTGTTCTCTGGTCAACTTTCAGGAATTCTTGGTCCCAAATAGGGATATCATCTGTTTTCTTTTCTTTGTTCTCATCTGAATGACTTTTTTTTTTTTTTTAAACATTGCTGCAGTAACATTTGGTAGAGGAACTGGGTCATCATCTCCTTCATCATCCATTCCCAAACCTTCAAACCTGGTTCTGATAGTCACAGATTATTTGGCAATTTCCACATCAACTTCAAATATATCTGTATCAGAACCCTGCAAATTAATTGAATTCATAGTGTTCAATCTTAAGGAGAAAGCAGAGCCAGGACTGGCGAGAGTTTGGTGAAAGCACAAACAGAAGAGAAAGGCAGAGAACAAGGCCACTATCAAAACTAACTCGTTATAATAGCAGACATCCAAATCTTTCTCCTGAGGAGGCACTGGTGGGTTTGAACTGTCGACCTTGTGGTTACAAGCCTAGTGTTTATCTTACAGCACTCCCAGAGCTCCTTATGAAATGATATAGAGTAAGATTAAGTTAATCTCCTTTGTGGGTCACTACAGTATTCTAGCAAATTAACTGGGTTTTCTACTAAGTGAGAGTAAACCCATTTATGCAGCAACATTTCTCAAGACAAGTTTTGCTCCTTTATAATTCAATGTTGTTCTAGCCTCAGTTCTACAAAATGTCTGTCATACAAGTGTTTGCAGTAAAGTAAATCAACAGGAACTTTTCAAAGCATTGAAGAGCAGAGATGTCAGCTTGAGGACTAGGGTGCACCTGCCCCA